AAGGGCTCTCAACTCACGTACTTCAACTGAAATTCTGTGTCACAAAGTTCTTGCATCAGCTTCACAATCAAATCTGGAAGAATTGCTCGTCAAGTGGGCAACTGTATTGTATGGCAAGAAAACAAGGAATTTTATAAGTGTGTCCTTTGTCACCGATTGCCAACTACTCATTTCCATGAAAGAAGCATTGATAAACGAAGTCCAACAATGATTTGATTAATCAAGAAGTAATAAGCGCGTGATGCAATATTTATTCATGCTGCTCAATTTGCAGCGCTTTGCCACAAAGGCAGGAATCATGGCAGCTTTTACATTTACTCATTTTTAAGGAAAGCAAGTTAATTTGAAGCAATCAAACAAATACGGAGGCTACTTAATTATTATCTTGCTGAATTCCATTTTTAACAACACACCCCAAAAATTGCTCATGAAATAACAAGTGGAGTTAACAAAAACGGCATAATTTTTGATGTATACTTTGTAAGGTTGTTTACTTTCATGTAATATCAAAATTAGGCCCCGTAACAATTACATACAAAACTAGGGAGCAAATACTAGCCTTAATTTTACTAAAACTAAGGCTAGTGGAATTTCTAAATAGTAATTGAGCAGGCACACCATTATTTAGGATTTCTGTTTAAAGTCTCCATTGCAAAGACTTTTAAAATACTCAGTTCCACCCGTTGACCGCACTGCACACATCCAAGACAGGTTTTATTTCATGATTCAATCGCGTTTCTACGTGTAACCCTTTAAGGTCTAACATTATAAAATACTTTTAAGGCGTTCAGTACATTGTGTAGTTTAGGTCAGTTAGGTACGTAGATTTTATTATAAATACAAACACTTTAAACAATTCCAAGTCGGAACCGACGTCATTACTAATGTTGGAGTGGTTTTCGACGAGTAATTTACTCAAGCCTGATCATCAGTTGGATTTATCAACCACAACATTTGAGAATGCTTATTCATCGCGTTCCTTTTAAAACATATGCAGCATATGATTCTTACCCTAGGTAGTAAAATGT